AAAGGGTTTAAAAACATAACCAAAGACCATAAAACAATTTCAAAGCAAATAACATAACCCCAAAGCTGGTGCTGATTAAGTTTTGCACTTATAATATGAAATAAGCTAAAAATCAGGTTAATCAGTATTATTAATAAGGAGGCTTAGTTCTTTCTGTTAGAGGGCTGGGGATGAGTAAGGTGATGTTAAGTATGGGTTAGGCCATTGATGTCTGTAGCAGTTGAACTGAGGGACAGATGATCTTCTAGCTTCTTGCACCAGTTAGCACACGGCCTCAGCACCCGCCTAACACTCTGTGCTGCTTCTCCACTCTCTTCCCCTTGTGTCAGAAGCATGGAATAGGCAACAAAAAGTTAAGCATCTAATGCTCACATTTGGCCTGTGATCCCATGACAGCCACAGCCATCAGGGAATTAGATCCTGCTGCCCACACAAGCATTAGCAACAAAACCCAAGATGACGTATGGCCCCCAACACAAGAGAGCCATGGACCTGATGGAGCAAATCCCCAGGAGGGTCACGAAGATTATTAGAGGGCTGCAGCACCTCTGCTCTGGAGACAGGCTGGGAGAGTTGGGCTTGTTCAGTCTGAAGAGAAGGCTCAGGGGAGACCTTATTGCTGCTTCCAGTGCCTAAAGTGTTTCTACAGGAAGTCTGGAGAAGGGCTTTTTACAAGGGAGTGTAGGATAAGGGGTAATAGCTTTAAACTGAAAGAGGGGAGATATAGGAAATTCTTCACTATGAGGGTGCTGAGGCACTGGCACAGGTTGCCCACAGAAGCTGTGGCTGCCCCATCCCTGGCAGTGTTCAAGGCCAGGTTGGACGGGGGTTGGAGCAACCTGATCTAGTTGAAGGTGTCCCTGCCCATGGCAGGGGACTGGATCTAGATGAGCTTTAAAGTCCCTTCCCACCCAAACTATTCTGTGATTCCATGAAAGATATGCCTGAACTAGCAGGTATGACTGAGGACCAAGGGGAGATCTGAACACTTCTAGACAAGCTGAAAGCCAGGCAGCATACCTTACTGCACCTCATGTGGCACTGTGCATAGACAACTGGGGCAGTCAGTAGAGTCAGTTTCAGCCTACAGAATGAGTCAGATTACCCTAAAGGCACTTACTAGCTAGCTCACTTGCTTTGCTCAGCCATACACACCTGTATCTTGACACTTAAATTTAGGTGTCTTAATCCTGAGCAGAATCCCACATACAGCTCCTGCAGGAAGCAAGGGGACTGCAGCTCCCTCATCCCCCATTAACTCACCACTGTTGTTCATGGCTTTGCTGAACTTCAACCAGGTCCTGCCCACATATTATCTTCAGACATTCATTAGAAACCTTGTGAGTTACAGCAGCCAACTCCAGCCATGGGACATTTATAAGGCTGGGGTTTTGCTCTAAATTACTCACCTCAAGGAACTAACAGTTCTGCATCACCCTGTCATCCAGGAGACAATCCTTTCTTTCACATGCACAACATGTCATATATCCCACTTTATGTACTTTCTGGGGATTTGAGCAATTTATTTTGAAAATTGAGGCATGCACCAATCTTAGTGCTAGCATTTTATACAAGCTCACAGAAAAATCATCAGACATCAGGTATCCAAGCCTCAGAAAACAAAGGGCTCCATTTAGATGCCTGAATGTAGGCATCTTGTGCCATTTGAGATGCCCTAAGGCACCCAAGATACACATGGGGTTGGCAGATATCACATAGGGCCTATGGAAGCAGCAGCTGCAGACATGGAAGACCACGCAGGCTACCCCAGGGTGTCTCAAATGGTACTTGATGCCAAAGTATAAGCAACTGAATTAAGTCCTAAAAATCTTGTTTATACTGAAGTCAGATGTATGCCTCCCATGTCTAACAAACACGTATTCTGCAGAGCAGCTAAGCAGCAAAAGAGCTACAAAAGAATTACATCCTTATTTCAGGTCTACTGAAATCTGGCAGAGCTTGCAGTGTCAGCTTATTTTGTTATGAACATATAATGCTCACTGAACCCCATGAGCTGCTGTGATAACAATCTCTGCCAGCTTGCTGAATGGATTCCTTTCAGTTGCTGCCTCTGAAGTTATGTGGCTAGAACAGACCTTCTGCACTACACCAGTACACCGGGAACACTCTTTTTTAGCTACAGGAGCAAGAGAACTGTCTGAAAAGATTCATGAGCTCAGGACTGATTATCAGACCAGAGGAGAGGAAGGTCATTGTGTCAAGGCTCTGTCAAGGCTCCTGGCTACTGCAGTGAGAAATGTACTACTGGCTAATCCTCTTACAAACACATGCACTTCCACAAGGGAGAATACCTCTAATGATTTAAATCCAATTTTCACTAATTGGTGCACTGTTTATTATGATGAAGTTGCTACAGCACTACACTCTTAACTTAGCTAGATGACGGACAAGGAGTATACAAGTCTTTTCTCTGCAGTTAATAAATCTGGGATCCCAATAAACCTGTGTATTTTTTGAATTCCAGTATCAGGATCCAGCATTAAACTATGCACCATAATTATTTCCAGCAATTTCCAGCATGACTAGAGAGATTATTAATTTTCTGGAAGACCAGCAAGGAGTACTGACATGGTTTTTGCTTTAGAAGGTGTTACTTAAAGTGAAGGAATCACTGTCCAGGTTAAATCTGAGAATATTCCTCCACACATTTTTTGCATAATCTAATTAAGAGACTTAAGTAGTTAAAAAACGGATAATATGACTCACCTATGGACTTTATTATTAAATAATTAATGAGAAACAGTTATTTGTGTCTAACAGTATAGGCCTTCCTGTCCAGTTTAGAACTGTAATGTCATTTTTCTATAATATGCAGCTTAAACAGCCACCATCCTTGAGCACAAGTTACGTGAGTGGATGCTGCCATCTAGGCAGGCTGCTGGGAGAAGCACCTGGTTTAGAACACCAGTTGTCTTTGCCAGGGAAAAAATATTCTATCGTCCAAAATGGAGAAGAAAGGAAAACTTTTTATACTATTAAAAATGACACATCACCACTCACTGAAATGCAAAACCAGCCCCTCAACCAGACTCTAGCAGTCTACATTAAGAGCAAATATTTTTTACGTTTGTTAAGGAATACATTATTCCCTATCTCCATACACACAACTTGAACTTAAGCTCTGCACTAAATTACAAACTGCTTTTAAATGTAAAAACCTCAACGTGTATAGTATTAAGCCAATTAATTATGAAACCATGTTTTACTATGGCAGTACTACAGTTGTATCTATTTTATATGCTTTAAAATGCAGTAACAGTACATTTTTAGAAGATAGTTACTCAAATATCTACTGATTTTCATAAAAGGAAGAAATAATTTTTAAACCATTTTTCTTCATAAACCCAAAAGTTTACATCCAGCACAAAAAAAAAATACATAACGCATCTATCTTTTTTAAAACAGTAACAAAATTCTATACATGGCATTTACAGAAGATTTACAGACAGATGACTAATAATATCATTTTACTTTGATTTGAAACATTAATCATCAGCTTCATTATTAAGTTGTGGGATTCTGCACAAAATGTATGAACTAGGAAGGCAGAATCTTACACAAAATAGTAGCAGGCTCTGAAAAGATGATCATTTAGCACCTTCCATCTGTACAAGTCCTTTTGGAGTTGAATTCTCTGGAGCGCAAGAATTGCCCCATGTTGCAACCACTGAATTCACACTACAGGGATTGCTCCTGAGATTTGGGAGCATGACACGAATTGCCTCAGAGCCCCAAGAAGCACACCACTTTGAGGTGCAAGTGTGTGCATTTGGGCATCCATAATCAAAAGCCATATTTCCTTTGGATTTCAGTGGATGACCTCGTTAACAACCTCACAAATCATCAAAGTAGATGATGGAGGGATATGGGGGTAATATCCACTGATATTCAGAGCGAAGTTATCTTCCTGAGTTTCCTCCCTGCCATGTTTTAGCCACCAACTTGGGGACCACCCTGAGCAGGTTTCTGTACAAAGTTACCCTTCTTTCTCCTTGAATGATCCCCCTGAATAATAATGGAAGTGTGGTTATCTGGCTACTGGCATACATCTTCCCACTCCCTTCACTCCTTCCCCCATGTAGTAAGAAGCAACACAGCATGAGATTGATTTGGTTGCTTTGCTCTCTGTACAAAAAGACTATGAACTGCTGAATTCACACTTAATTTAGTCAGTGGAAAAATGAGCAGAGCTGGTACCAAAGGAATTCAGTAATAAGCTTTGCAACTACTGGGCTGGAAGAAGATCTGCTGCCCTTTGAGTAGTGCTGGAATGTAGGACAAGAGAGGATAATTCTCACAATGCGTTTGCTGTGTCCTTGGCGTGTCATATGGAAAAAAAGGGCAGTATTGAAAATTAAGCAAACCTCAGCTGAGGTCAGAAGCCTTCAGTCTGAAAGGCTGGACCTCTTTTTGCATTTAGGGATGTTCAGTGCCCTTTATATTAGCACAGGAAAAATAAACATTCAGGTTTAATTTTACACTAGACTAGAGTCTTTTTGGTAATTTTGTATTTCTGTGTCCTCACCAACAGAAAATGAATGTGCGCTGCCTCTTCTCTCACCACTGGCATGCATATGTCATGGCACTGTTACCTTTCCTCAACAAACTGGCACATTTTGCACAGCTGCTTAGCTGCAAACACATTCTATATCTAGATTAAACATACTTTTAAGAAAGATATTGCAGGAAAGATGTACCAATGGAGGCTCTCACCTACAGCAACACTGCAGAAAGAGTATCTCCTCCCTTTGCAAGACAAATTGAGTTTACATTACCCAAGCAGGAAGGAAAATCAGTATCTGGTGATATTTTACACAAAGCCACTCGACTTAAGAGACAGCTAATGACAGTGGTTAAAGAAGGTCTCTATCAGATGAGACGCACAAGCTGCTCTGGCTGCCTAGTTTGTTGAAAATACAGTCACATTTAAATAACTTCTTCGGGTTTCCCAAAACAGTAACAAAAACCAAGAGACAGCATGTGCATGATATGTTTTATTCAATAAAATCCTGCTTACAATATTTACACAGTGAATTCTAGAGATGTAACCTAGTGAAACATGGCAATGTGAAACATTCATACAACATCTGGAATATCTTTAAATACATCTGAAACTATTTCTTACAGCAATCACCTGCCCAACACTGATTTCATAATTAAGGAAGATTTGAATATTCGGAAGAATAGTCAAGATGAATATTAAGGATAGCTGAGTTCAGAGAAAACAGTCTGCTATGTGAATTCCAAACCCAAAAAATCTGAGCAAAGCGTCAAGAGTTCTGAAGGCAACTTCCGTTATTTCCCTGTTGTTCTCATCTCTGCAGAAGAAGGTGACAAAATAAATGACAAATCTTAAGGCTGAAAATAATATCCACAACTTAAACACACAGTGCCCTCCATGGCAATCTTACTTTTTACATTTATAATTTTCTGTTAACCTCAAGGTCTGTGAATTGCAACAAAATAATTACTTACACATATTAAACATTACATTAAATTTTTAAAGCTGCCAGGGTAGACACACAGAAAGTAGAAATGCTGCAACTGATATCTACTGTGAAGACAACACTAATTACCACCATTTATGCAAAAACTTTATGATGCCTTCCATCCCATTCTGCTATGTTGTTTCGTTACAGCTCTAATAAATATACTATCAATCCACTGTTACAGTGAAGAGGGGTCTTGTAAAAAACCTATAATCAATACCTTTCCTATTTAGAGCTTTTTTTTAAGGTAATTTAGTTATTCCTGATCTTGTAAGAGTTCTCGTCAAGGCTTGTGTACAAGTATAGACTTTCAGTGGCCATATTAACAACTAGTTCATAGCACTAATAGACTCTTACCTTATATTTGACTACTCACTACTTGTGAATAAGACATGATTCACTGGCCATTTGCATAATTTTCATCATCCAGCAGGAAAACATTATAAACCAAGAATCATAGAGTCATAGAATAGTTAGGGTTGGAAAGGACCTTAAGATCATCAAGTTCCAACCCCCCTGCCATGGGCAGGGACACCTCGCTCAAACCATATCACCCAAGGCCTCGTCCAATGCTGTGTCCTACTCAAGCCACAGGAGGTTGTTTACTTTATTGGGTTACAGACAGCGCATTACAAAAGGCAGGCAGTCTAGAATGCCACACTTGGGATTCTGTGCTGAAGCAAAACCCTGATTGTTAGGTTAAAACCAAATGATCTTGCACAGTCTCTCATATTTTATCTACCAAACAGGGAGAGCAATTATGTTTTTCCTGTACCTTGAGTTACCTGTATGAAGCCATGTTTAATAACTAGGAGTGCAAAGATCAGACGATTATTAACCAAAGTATCTATCATCAGGTCCCTTCCCATTTTCCAGAACAACTTACTGATTGAAACAGGGAAAGTATTGCTGTTATTTGCAAGTCTCTCCCAACTGAAGCACCAGTTTTGAGCAAACTGCACAGCATGTTGAAATACAACTTCAAATATATTCTTGGAAAGAAAAACCAATTTAAAACAACACCCTACCATCCCACCATCCCCTAACATTGCCTAACCTTTAAGCACCAAGGTTAAACTTTCCATAAAATAGTTCCATAGCAAGGTTCAGTGAGATAACTTCTTATTTTTAGAGACCAAATTTGTAATAGTAATGGTGTCTCTACAAACACACACTATCTCATGGAGGTAAACCGTCTCCTGGCAGGGACAGCCAGAATTCAGAATTTGACAGAATAACAGAATATGCAAATGTGGTAGAGAAAGCTGCAAAAGGTAACAGGAAAGCACTTGGCTATTTGATATTTCTATGCTACAGCCACCCCTCAATAAATTTCTGTGTCCCAGGAGTATATTTTATAAAAGTTATGGCTGTTTTCTTCTGTTTCTTCTTTTATCTTCACCCCATCCCTCCCCAGATAAACAGCCAGATGCTGTTCCATCTCTCCAGGAAATGTATATTCTTTCTAATCTCACAGCTTCTTTTCTCTTATTTTTTTCCAACTACAAAGAATTATCTGGAACACAGCTGCCTACCTGGAAGCTATTTCTCTTATACCTAACATAGATGTAAATCTTAATAGCTAAGAAGCTGCTAAAAGATACAGATTCTGCTCTTGCCTGTCTCACTGGTGAGGTATACAGTATGCATTGTCAAACACTGTCTTTGAGCAGGAAATCCATTTATACTGTCAACCTCAAGATAAGCAACTAAGCGTGTGTGAGACACTGTCAACACAGATTGAATAAAACCAGATGTACATTAAGATAATAAGGCTAACTTTAGAAATGATTGACTGTAGCATCCAGCTTGAAACCCCGCATTAACCTTAGACACAAAGCAGTAAGATTCTTCAGGTGCCTGACAGGAATCTTTGGGTATGAGGTACATTTGTACACACAGCCGACCATATTTGAGGGGGGTTTAACTCCTTTGTTTTTTAAAGGAGATGCAGCTGTATTCTTTGTTAAATGAGAAACACTTGTGTGAATAAGGACAGAAAGATTTCAACACAACAAATAACTTAAAGAACTGTAACTGGTAAAAATAAGTTTGGAATTAGCATCACCATGCATCTAGAACCTGTCTCCAGGTCTGTACAGGATGTTCAAACAGCGGCAGTCCATGAAACGTTACACAACTTGGTATTATCCAGTAACAAAGGGAGGAAGGGAATCATATCACTGCATATAAAGCTGGGGGAAGAAGAAGGAAGGAGGAAAGAGGAAGAGGGGGGGCGGATTAGGCATGATGAAGCCCTGCTTTCCTGGAGATGGCCAATCACTGGCCTACCCATGGGAAGTGGTGAATGAATTCTTTAGTTTGTTTTGTGTGCATAGCCTTTGCTTTACCTATTAAACTGTCTTTATCTCAACTAATGAATTTTCTTTTACCCTTCTGATTCCCCTTCCCATCCCACTGGGTACAGTGAGTGAGCACAGCTGCATGATGCTTAGTTGCTCACTGATTTAAACTATGACAGGCCTTTCTGGATCCCAGCATGGGCTCCAAGAGCTCAGGATGACAGGTTTGATTGTAATGTGCCATATAGAATTTATGGCTGTTACTGTTGTTTAGATATTAATCGGCAGGCTCCTGTGCTTCCTGTGGGACCTAGTGCTTGTCAGTGGCTGCCTTTTGGTTTCACTCCTTGCTATACTGCTGTATGGCCAGAGCACCACTACTGTTCCTGTGATGCTGTACTGGACAGGTTGGAACTCCAGTGTGAACCAAGTCAAAGGAACTGTGACCTGTGGATGAGGCAATGCAGGACCAGGACACCCCAAAGCATCCACAAATTCAATGCAATTCCAGAACCCACTTAAACTGGGTCTTTGAATCAGCAAATATCCTCAGTTTGTCTCCCTTTCCTTACACAGAGGTAAGAGTATTTTGTCCTTTAGTTTGCGTTGGAAAGGGCAGATTAGAGGCTACCTAGCAAGGCCTAGTAACTCACCTCAAAGAGCAGATACAAGCCATTCTCTTTAGGAAAGCTTCACTGAATTTATTACAGAGGCGCCAAACCAAAAAAAGTAAATAAATGTTTAACAAACTTACTTCAACACAAAGGCAAGGACAACTGTAATGAAAAAGAGAGTGTTTACCACACACTCTACAAAAAAAGATCACTACATTCTTCAGTTTCGATCATAAGAAAATGCTCCAGTTTGTCAGTAACAGGTGATTTTTTAGTAGTATTTTAAGTGGAACTACATTAACTTTCAGAGACACTGCCTCACTGGTAGCATTCCTACTTCACATACAGGCACCCCACTATCAGCTATCAAGGGCAACAAAGGAGAGTGAACTGCAACTTACTGAAAGTAAGTATGCATATAAACAAGATTAACATTAAGGACTTGACAACCTTCTTTCTACTCCTGGCCTTAAACTCAACTCATGGCTTAATGTATAGGCAAAACAGAGGGCACCTGTAATGTAGGGTCCACCTTGGATCTCCCATTTTTGGTGTCAACAGCTAAAACACCCCTGATCTCCTCATTCCAAAGGAAAACAGGCCTGTTGGTTTCACCTTTTCTTTTTAGTTCAGAGGTACATGACTTACCAAGACTCAATCTCAAAAACTAGGCTACTTGATTCCTTTAATTAAAGGAAGTAGAGAATAAGATGTATTGACATATTTCCTAATCATTAAACTTTGGTCATTAGACACCAGAAGTCCTTCCACAGCAATGCCACTGCATGGTCTAATGCTACTTAGTATTATATTACAATTAAATAAAGGAAAAAGATGTTACAGGCTGTTAGTCATGTACTAGAAATAGGTATTAGTTCACAGGCATGGTGCCTGAAGCACTCGGCACACAGAAATCTGCAAGCATGACCAAATTACAGAAACAATTATAAAGAAAAAATACTTTTAGAATAAATGTTATATGGAAGCCTTGTAATTTTATTTTAACAGAGCAGTCAGATACTGCCAATACCGTGTGTATTTTCAATGCTCTGTGTATGCTTGCAATGCAGTGCCGGTATTTGGTGTAAAGTGGGCCTTATTAATACCCCACAGGATTACAGGCCACCTGAAGAATGAAAACTTATAAAATTTAATACTATGATTTGCCTATGAAGTAACTGTAAGTCTTCTGTTACAGGTGAATACATATTCTCTCTGCGTTACTTTCACCCTGTGTTCTTTTCACTTCTCAGGATACAAGACACTTAATTTTCAGACTGATTAAGCTAGGTAATTAATTTTAAACACTGACTTCAATGGCACTACATAAAAAATTTCAGATACCTTTAAGACTGAAGCCATAAGAGGCAATTCTTGTTAACTGACTAAAAAAGTAGCACTTTATCCCCAGACCTGACAGGGACTCTGACAGAATCCTTACAGGCAAACTGTGAGCATAGGACATTATTTCTCACCTGTACTGCTGTTCAGTAGTTAATCATTTTTAGAATAGCATCATAGCATTTCCATTTGTCTGGGATGTAGAAAGGCTCAAAGATGTGAGGGAAAGGAGTGTCATAGCCACATACTCTCGAAATAGGAGCTTCTAAATTCAAAAAGCATTCCTCCTATTAACAGAAACACAGAACAAATGTTAGAGAGGCCATTATTTTCAGGAGTCTTGCATCACAAATTGAGGTCGAATGAACTTTGCCAGACTGACAGTCCTGGCAACTCAAACCTTCTATTTATATCACAGCGTAAGTAGTCCAGACCAGAACAGTGCTTCCTTTTGCCCAAAGGTCCATATTAAAATAACAACTTGTACTAATGTTATTTTCATTTTCTACATGTGTGCTACATTAAATCATGTGCAGGTTATATTTAGTACATCTGCTATACATCCAGACACATGCTGCCAAGAAACAAATATTTTAGGAACAAAGGAGTAAGAGTTTCTTTCCTGTGCCACTTTGAAACTTATAGAAAAATTACATAATCTAAGAGTAAATATTATTTGTTGGATACATGAACATCAGATTCAAACTTCTTTGAACCTTAGATTGTTGAGATTATTTGAGAAGCATTAAGCAGTTAAGAAATTATGAATTTGAACTCAAGTAGATTTCTGTATCTCCACCCTTGAGTCAAATCCCTGCTGCACACAAACCCCCTCAATTTGTGTTCTATTTGGAGATCAGATTTGGCAATGACTGAGAGTTTCATTACTTGACCTAGTAGGACACAAAATACTACAAATGCACCATATTAACCTGAAAGAAACCTATGGAAATATATGTAATATTACCAGCTTTAATAGCCAAATAAATAGTGACGTTTCAATCTTCCTACTTCCTACTGAGTCACAGACCATGAAAATCTGCAAGAAGTAGATACAGAAATAGCTTTGCCAGATCAAACTGATGGTGACACTAATTATAAGCACCCTTTCTCCCCATATCTTTAGCATATGCATTTGCTTTCCAAAGCAGACAAATGAAGAGGCAAAACACATCTCCTCTTGGCCTCTTCTTTATGGATGGACTGCAGCAACTGAGACATCCTGGCCAACTTCCCCTGCACTTGGCTCAGCAAAACAGAAGGTAAAGGATTATCTAGAAGTCCTTTCCCACCAGGCCCACAAGGCAAACCAGGCCCACAAAGAGCTATGCTTTTCTGCAGCAAAGTGCTAAGTATTTTCTCAGACTGATGAACTGTTTTGAATGCATGTGCCTTGCAGTCCATGGCAGCCCAAGTCTAACTTACCGTGCTTTATATACAACACAGTATTTGGCAGCACAGAAGGTACTCATAACACACTGAGATTATAACCTTTTGCTCCAGCTGCCACTTTGGTGCATTGCAAAGTGGAGTATTTCTGTAAGACAGAAATCTGCAAGATTCCTGCAAGTCCAAGAAGTTGTGTGATTATGTACAGTATCATTACATTTAATTGTGAACTAATTCACCTAGAAAACCGGAGAGTCTGAATAGGTCTGAGGTAAAAATAGGTGCAAACAATTAAAAGACTTTTTGAGCTCCATTTTCAGGCACTCCTTTGCTTTTCTTTGCAAAGTGAAAGATTCACATCAGTACAAAATGCTGTACAGTACAGTTTATTAACTCTTAACCTGCCCATGAGGTAGATAATGATGTCCTTCTGTACCCTGCTGGCAAGAATATTTGTCATACTAATCAATCCTTAGTTCCCATGTTGTGACTAGACAATAAAACAAAGTAGTAGTTTTCATACCATCCCAAAACTGACTGTCCTGACCATCTGTGAAGTTTGATTACACCAAAGCATACAAGTATATTCTAGATCCATAGCCTTCCAACTCTGCACTGCTGTTTCAGAGTACCCAACACAGTACCACTGCCTAAGAGAGACCTTTGGTTTACATCATACCCAGATCTGTGATAAAAGCTTATCCCAAATGACACTTAGAGAGAAAGTTCATTATTTCCACTGAAAATATTTCTTGCGCTATTCCACACACACCGGGCATGCGAGCAGACAGCAGCACTGCATCTTCAGCAGCCCAAGCAGCAGAGAAATGTCAGCCATGACTGGCAGGTGGAGTGCTATACACTCCTGAATGAGACCAAGGGCTTGGCTGTAAATATAAATCTCAGCTGGTAAACCCGAGCCATATAGAATAGTTGCAAGCATGCATATTTAGTAATTCTATTACTAATATAGTTAATTCAGAGTAAAAAGTAAGTCATAAGACTTTCTAAAACTCCACTTAATACAAGAACACAAACCACCTGTTACAAGCACCCCTTCTGTGGTTTTAAAACTCAGCAACAGCTTTCACTTTAAGCATACCCCTATTGCTTTGAAACTTGTACAGATTCCATGGACTCATGGGGACTCCCTTACCTCATTTTTAGAATAGCATCATAGCATTTCATTTGTCTGGGATGTGAGGGAGTCAGAGAGTGCAGCTGGGATGAGCAGTGTTGTATTGTCATGCACCATTCAAGAATGACAGCCAGATAAAGGTGGAAAAGCTCTCAAGTCTGAGCTACTCTCTGTGTGTACGCATACAAACATAACTCTTTTACCATTTTGGAGATTTTTGGGGGGGGGGTGTCTTTGCAGATTTTTAACTAAGCTATTGCACTGTATGAGTGCAATAAATATTTTTATATTTTTATAAAATATTATAAAATTCTTCAGAGACAGAAAAAATAGACCCAAGCCACCAGTCAAACCCATGAGGGAAACTCTTTACTTACACATTACCTGACTGAAGTCAACACAGTTTAAGAGGGATTCAAACCCAGGCGGCTCTAATAATGCCACACACAGAATTTCACATTGCAATAGTTTATCATGGAAAAAGTAGTATTCCCAGCAAAGTAACAACATTTGTATAACAACACACTGAATAAACTGCTTACAGGTTTTAGATTTATGGATTCTACCACCACAGAATCGCAGACTGGTTTGGGTTAGAAGGGACTGCCAGATCATCTAGTCCATTCTCCCCATTGTAAGATCATTTTACAATGTACTTTTTAGGTTACCAGCCATACCTAAACTCATACATAAATCTTACACAAATGTATATGCTATTATGCAGAGGACTGTGAGATTATTGACACATACATTTTACAAATGCAGGTTTGGGTCAGGTGGTGTGTTGGCTATGGAACTTACTGGAGTTAAGTCTCTCAATGACCACAATAACAACAGAAATGTTGCATACCTAGCAATATGAAGATGATTCAGTTGACACTAAAATCAGAGATTTACTGAAAATAATTGCAAGAATATTGATAAGAACAAACTGCAAAGAATAAAAGCATTTAATACTTTTTTTTTAATAGAGTAGCAATAAAATTATAATCCAAAAATAATTCAAAAACAATCAAGAAAATGCATTTTTATTTTATCATGTAGAAGAGATAAAAGTCTTGATCTTGCTAAGACCATGGCAAATTGATATTGCCATCCTGGTTCTTACTCAAAACATAATAAAGCTAATGTTTTTATGACTTTCACCGTGCTTACAGTAGGATAGCTAGGTTTACTCACAGAAACACACTGACACTACTCCCACCATATGCTGAGTATTTGGTCCTCAAAAAAAAAAAAAAGAAATAATTCACAAAACCACATGTTTTACACATAAGGAGACAAAGAATCATACAATCATAGAATAGTTAGGGTTGGAAAGGACCTTAAGATCACCTAGTTCCAACCCCCCTGCCATGGGCAGGGACACCTCACACTAAACCATGTCGCCCAAGGCTCTGTCCAACCTGGCCTTGAGCACATAGAAAACAAGCTTAAATATCTTAATTAGATGATTCAGAGGGAAATCCTTCTTTTTTTATCATGTAAGGTGGTCTGATAGAAGATACTGCTACTTTACTGGGCATGCTTTGGATGCATCTAGATATGCAGCAAGTCTTTTGTAGGACTGAGGTCTTTGCTTGTAGCTATCTCCTTTTACGTTTGGAGCCAGTTTTGTTTAAAAAAAAAACAACTGAAAAGTTTATCAGTTCATGGAGGTTTTATTTAACTCTGGTATCAGTTCTATCTTATGGGACAATTTATTCAGTTGTGTCCCTCAAATCAAACAAAACCTTTACAAAGTTACAGAATTTTAAACTGCCTGCTTGACGGCATTAGGAACCATAATCTAAGCAAACAAGATTACACTCTTCATTAGATGGCATTAGACTTTGAAAAATCATGTTTTTATAAGGTTTATACCCCAACATAGAAAAAATATTAGTCTATGGAAGTATTTCTAAGTCATCTTTCTTTTTGAGCTTGAAGAGCAATTAAGTGATGAGCTCATCAAACAGCCTAACACAGATTTTTGTTCACACCTGCTGTTAAAAGACTGCAGGACTAACAAGAATCCACTTCATCCCAAATACGATACTTCCACATCTGCTGTACATATTGCAGTGCCAGATTTTTAGCACCTGTACAGCCACACTGTAGAAAAACAGTACTGAGACTATTAAATACACAACATCCAGATCTTCTGAAGACAGACACTGGCAGACATCCCTTGTACAAGCTTTCAGAACAAGTCTAACACAGTATTTAGGAGAGTGATAAAAAATCAATATTTAAATTTAAGTGGATTCACTCCATACTACTTGGGCATATAAGGGCTGGTACTGGCCTAAAGCACTCTTGCACAGTAAGGGAGTGGAAACTTACAGTCTTCAGTAAGTCCCTGCATGTTTCAGATGAATTGCTTAAATAAGCTGACATCTTTCAAGGAAAGACCTTAGGAAAAAACTTGAAAATTAAATGGTTTCAAAAGTAAAGTAGTAGGCATGGGATTTCTAATTCAGACTAAAATATTTTAAATTCACTTTTGAAAATCAGTATGAAAAAGTCACACTTACTCAGTAGAATATCCACAAACTTCCAAAATTCAACAGGAGTAAAAAAAATACTCTTGTTAGGAAAAAAAAATGCTTATAAAGGAACAGATACAATTAATAGTCTAATATATCCAAATTGTCTTCATTAAAAAAGCAAAACAAAACAAAACAAAGCATTAAATCGTTGATCTTACTGCTTCCTAACTGCGGAGGTCAAATTCTGGCCTCAGTTACTCAATACGACCTTTGCCAATTACCTTCATTT